AATCACTTTGCAGCGATTTTTGCTGCACGGATTATCATCGCTATGCGGGGCACCACTGTATTTCCAGACTCTGGCTCTCTCAAAACAGTTTTCAGATCAATAAAAGGAAGGCCATCCCTGCCTTCAGACGTCCTGTGTCAAAAGAGCTAGCACAAAAGGAAAGGGGGCAGGGAGGGAAAAGGAAAACAAACCCTGTCACCAGTTGTATGAAACCGCAGTGGCTATGCATTGTGTAGGTGCATTCTTGGAAGTGTGGAAGCAATTTCACATTGTGGACAAAAGGGAATGAGGAAGTAGCGCCGAGTGAAGAAAAGAAGTAATGTACAGGGAAAAAATAAGCAGGAAAGAGGGTCTGACTTCAGAGTGGAATGAAGTAACTGGTTCCTCCCACACACACTGTACCTCTAACTGTTCTTTCACAATTATAAAGAGAATCTTGTGTAACTCATGGGTGGGTCAATGAACAGCATATAAAAAGACCAGAGACTCCTCTTTGGAGGAGCCCCAGCCCATTGTCTGATTTAAAGATCAAGATCCAGAAGGAGGGAAGCCAGGGACAGGCTATGAAGGAGGCCATCATCTCCAGGGAGCTGCACTTAGTGAGCAGACTTGGTGGGCTACACAGGTCATCTGTTCACAGAACTCTGCACTGTGGTGAGATGCATTGGGTCTCTGTTTCAACGATATCTGTCATATCTAAATTTTGCACTTAGCAATATCCATATGTCACTCTGTGTTCCAATGTGTACATTTTATGCAACTTGGGGGACATCTCTGCCCTGACTTTTTAGGATGCTGAATCCTAGAACATCTAGAATTGGCAGCTTCCGGCAGCAAAAGTAGGTGGTGAGAATATGCCGAGGGACAGCTCTGCAGGTGAGGCCCTGTGCGCTTGTCTGTGTGTGATATTTGGAAACCAACCTGGGCTAATCAAGATTAAAAATGGGGTGAGGGATTTAGTTTTGGCTCATTTCTTGTAAGAATTTGCATAGTTCTTCATATTTGGCATAGAAAGACCTGAGCACAAAGAGGAGGACAAGCACAGGAGAAACTGGAAATTACAGATTCCTGAGCATGAACCGATTCCTAGGTCTGTGTACCCAACCTTGTTAAAGCTGGATCAAGGTTGCCACTTATTTTTGAAACAAGGCTCCTCATCTTTAATAACTATATGGCAGGGCAGGCAAGGATAGCACTCTCCTCCCCTTCCTGGAAATAGCTCTGGGGATTGTATTGAGGCAGTGCGAATTGCTGATTTGCAAAATATGAATGAATTAATTAATCAGCTTAATCAATTAAGTCAGCAAAAATAGTAAAGAGTAAAATGCAGGAATTGGCTCTCCATGAGGGCCATCAAATAGGTCCAGTAAAACTGGAAGCATTTTGGCAAACTGAAGCCATGCTGCCATGTTCTTTCTAGAGAAGAGAGGCTTTCTCCTGACAACCCTTCCAAAGTAACCATACTTGTTCAGCGTTTTTCTAATTGTACGGTCATGAACTTCAATGTTTCACATGCTAACTGAGGCCATTGGAGTGTGAGATGTTACTCTTGGAATTTTTGCAATTTCTCTGATCATTGCATGGTCTGACCTTGGGGTGATGTGGCTTGGATGTCCACTCTTGGGAAGGTTGGCAATTGTCTTGAATTTTTTTCTACTTGTGAATAATCTTCCTCATTGTAAAATGATGGACTTTAAATTGTTTGAAATGGCCTTATATACATTCTGAGATTCATGAGCAGCAACAATTGCTTCTCTACGGTCATTGCTGATGTGTTTCCTCCTTGGCACACCTGAATGCTCCAGACCAGAAAACTACTAAAACTTCAGTTTTTATAAGGGTGGTCACACTTGTTGATGATCAGTTACTTGAGGGCATTTGATTTGCAGCACCTGGCTGCTACTTTGCCTTTTAATTTTTATGGAAACAGTAAGGGTATAGTTCTTGTAGGTTTTTCGGGCTGTTTGGCCGTGTTCTAGAGGTTTTTGTTCCTCACGTTTCGCCAGTCCCTGTGGCTGGCATCTTCAGAGGACAGGAGTTAGAACTAACCCAGAACACAGTCAAACAGCCTGAAAAATCTACAACAATCATCAGATTCCAGCCGTGAAAGCCTTTGAGAAGTAAGGGTATACAGTGGTGCCCTGCATAGCGACGATAATCTGTTCCGGAAACGTCGCTATACGGGGCAAAAAAACCCATAGGAACACATTAAACGGAGATTAATGCGTTCCTATGGGGACAGAACTCACTGCTAAGCGGAAATCCTCAATCCGGCTGCCATTTTCGCCGCCTTGCTAAGCGAGGAATCGGGGCGAAAACGCTGCGGGCTGCCATTTTCTTCTTCTGGTGGCCATTTTGGAACCGCCGATCAGCTGTTTGAAAACATCGCAATGCGAAGATCGGTAAGCGAAACACTTACCGATCGTCGCAATGCGATGTTTACCCTATTCAAACATCGCAATGCGATCTGTTTTTCGATCGCAAAATCTGCATCGCTCTGCAGATTCATCGTTAAACGGTGCGCTCGTTATGCAAGGCACCACTGTACTTAGTTTTTCACCCATGGCTTCTCCATTTTGGCTTTATTTTTTATTAAATAAATCATGACACAGTGTACTATGTCCTGTGTTGTTCATCTGAGGTGGTATTGACCTAATTATCAGACCTAAGGACCAGATGATTTTTGTTATGTCCTGGTACAAAAAAACCCACAGAATTCAAAGAGGGTGCATTTTCTGTTTCACGTGACTGTATATACAGTATATTGAAATTCCAATTTCCATCTGTAAGACAAAGCCTCACATGCAGTGATACGGCTAGAGATATACAGATATAGAAACAGATGTGACAGATATGTCGGCATGTGTTATCTGCCATCCACTGGGATGGCAACCTTTAATAGGGTTTTCAAGGTATGTGAGACATTTAACTGCTGGATAACCAGAGGTTGGGAGTTCGATTCCCCCGCTGGGGCCTCCCTGACAGAGTCCCCTACCAGCAATACAGTTCTAAGATGGTTGTTGTTGTCAGCACCCATGGTTCCCTAGAGAACCTTGGATGGTCGGACAGAGAGTAATCAGGAGTTTGTACACCCTAAAATGTGCTGAGAGAGTCCTAGAGCTCAGCTAGGCATGTTCAACACCCCTTTTTACAAGTCTGCCCTAATAAGAACACCCTTGTACCTTAGGATATTTCTGATAGAAAACCATGTGGGCTTTGTAGTCATTAGACTTACTGTGCACCACTGGCCGGACTCATTAAGTATGCTAGGCCGAGGCAGCACCATCAGATGACCTAAGACAAGATTACTGTTCAAGAAACCAATTGATTTTTATAATCATTGTTTTATTAAAGAAAAAAGTAAGTTCCATAAAGAAGTCAGTTTATGCAAAAGCAAGCAAATAAGCATTATGCTGGTCAATAACAAAATTGTAGTGAAGTATAGAAATCATGAAAAATATACAAGTATTCAAAAATGGTAAAAAGAATTCAAAAATCCAAGAAAACAAATGAAAACAAGTTCAGAAGGCAAATAAGAAAAAGCCTTCCCTCTAGTTCAGTCAGGTGATCCATCAGGAAAAACAAAATAGTCCAATTAAGTAAGAAAAAGTCCAAAGTCCATCATTATCCTGTAAGAAGAAAAATACTGTACAAAAGGAAAAATCCTGTAAAAGAAATACAGTATCACATTTTGGTAATTCAGTCATATTGTCCTTAGAATAGTCCATGAGTGCGTGTGTGTCACAAAAGTAATCCATGCATGTCTCTGGGACAATCCATGCGTGTCATAAGAGTAGGCCATGAGTGACATTGTCCATAGATAAAAGTTCCTTTTTCTAGAGTAACTGGCAAATCCTTATCTCCCCCTTCTCACGGTGTCATCCAATCACGGCACATCGTTAGACAAACAGTCCTGCTGTACCATCTGACCTCCTTCCCATGGGTAACAGATGTTATTTGGGTTTTCAGTGGTTTGCAATGAGTCACAACAAAGTCCATCTATCTTATCGTAGAATGTTCTTCTCGGGCCCACAGAAGAGCACTCTCCCTCCTTCTCACTAGCAGATACTTTGTCAGCATTGCAAAAATCATTTATGCAGGGAAACAAGATGGAACCTCTCTTGCATTTTACATTATTACATAACCCATCTTCAATACAAGATCTTAACCATAAATCCCATCTCATCACAGTTGTTGTTGTTGTTGCTGCTGCTGCTGCTGTTGTTAAGGAGGGATTCTAACATTGACATCCCACCCCTCACCCCAGTGAATTTCCACAACTAAGCAGGAATTCAAATCCAGGTCTCCCCCCCCCCTTTATGTATCCACATAAAGACACAGATCTAATCTGTGTGGATGCATACATATGTATACATATACATAAGCTTGTACATGTATGGGTACACATACGTATACTTGCACACATCACATACATGTGTACTATAGCTGTACTCCTCTTGTCGTTGGTGTGCATGGATACGGGCTGTAACACAAAGTGCACTCCTGAAACTGTTTCAAAGGAGAAGGCAAAGAAATGAGAAACGGTCTGAAGAAAAACCCACACCCCCAGAGCTGTTTTTTTTTTTATTTTTTATTTTTTAACAAGAAGGGTGACAAAAAGGAAAAGGGGAATTGAGGTTAATGGGGAAAAGGAGAAACAATCACATACTAACGTCCATTCTATACCTATTGCCACATCAAAATTCCAAGTTACTCTATTTACTCTTTTCTGCCTTCTAGGTTTAAGTTCTCATTTCAATATATGCTATTCATACGTTGCCTGTTGATTCAGTCCACTTGTAGAATAAGTCCCATCTTTCTGTTGCCTTTTGTAAAGGACAGTCCTTCATTACTTCTGATAAAATGAGTTGTATTTTTGACCACCCCCGCCCGAGGCTGGTTTTTCAGCCACGTTCCCCACTTTGGCTGGCGTCCCCTGTTTTCTGGCCCTGTGGGAGGGGGATCCCGATGAGCCCTTTTGTCTCCTTCCCCTGGCTCTTTTGGTTCCCTGCAGTGGCTTCTCCTTCATCTCCACCTTCCTCTCCCTCTCCTTTGCTGCATGGCTTTCCAGATAAGCATATGCCTGTTATTCGGAGAGATCTCGTGAGTATGCAAATTTCAATGACTCAACGAATTTGCAAATTCACTCCTGGCACATTCGCACAGAGACCTGAGTGGCATGCTTTTATCCCAACTCTCAGACTCCAAACCACTGGCCCATCCACCCGTCCCTTCCCGCCTGGCATGCTCAGAGAGGGATGACGAAGGGAGTGCTGAAGGCTACGGACCAGATGTTCCAGAACCTCGTGAGCCAGGCATTCTTGCTTCTCCCCCATCTTTTCCCCCTGCACTGAGAAAGCATCTCTCATCACAGAAGAACAACAAAAGAGATTCACAGAAGAAGCGAGGAGAGGGAGCAGCTGGGGACACTGGCATGATTTCTCCGTCGGCCTTGGCAACAGCAGGAAAACCATGGTGAATTCATTTCCAGCAAGAGCCGAGCTGCGGAGGGCGGGCAGAGCAGGGCAGGCTGGCCTTCTCTGCCCCTGGCCGGGATCAGCCTGCTGGAGATCAAAGATCAAAACTCGCTTTCCTCTGGAAAAAAAAAAACCAATCTGCCAGAGAGAGAGAGAGAGAGAGAAGGATCTTCGGGTTGGGCTCTTTTCCACATCTGTCTCTGGGCCCGTAGCCTGTGGCGTTTTTAAAGGCCCCAAGCAATCGACGGGGTGGATGCAGGGGGTTGCCACGCGTGAGGACTGAAGGAAGGAGCATCTCTGTGGTGGTGTCTGCATGCAATTTCTCTCCCCACCCCCACCCCCTCCAGTCCAGGTTGCAACTGAGAAGTCGTCGCTGGCTGGATAATCCCAGAGCTGGCCGATGGCCCGCACACAGGATGGTGCTCCGCAGCTGACAGGGGCCACTTCGGAGGAGATCTCCCCTGCCCAGGTCCAGCTCCTGCTGGCCACGTCCCGAGAAGCCCTGCAGGCTGCCTACTGCCCCTACAGCCACTACCCGGTGGGCGCTGCCCTCCTGACCTCAGAGGGAAAGATCTACTCAGGTAAGGGAGCCCAGCCACCTCCCGCTGGCGCAGGGAAGGCCACCAGCCGCCGGTCTCTGACCAGGTCCAAGTTGGGGGGGGTTTACTGTCAGTTTACAACATCCTGGGCAGCTTAGGATTCTAAGACTCCACGCCAGGCTACTGCTTTTTGGAGCAAGCCTTTAATGTACTCCTTCCTCCCCCCACTGTGCAGAATCCTCTTCCTGCAGAAATTTGTCTAGCGATAAGGATTTATGGGTTTAGATCAGAGTCGGCAGTCATTGTGGGCTGAGGGGGTCCCTGATTTTGGCCCCCAGGTGCCAGCACTGGAACTCCTGGGGGCCTATTGCTGCTATATGCTCTTGTAAGATGATCAAGCAACAGTCCACTATTGCCAGCATGCACACATGCCACATACCCAGCCCTTAGTGGATTTCCATTGCTAAATAGATTTGAGAGTTGGTCTCCTGGGTCCCAGTCTGACACTGTATCCACTATGCTGCTGTACCTCCATCAGGGGAGATGGGGTGGTGGTGGAATGGAAATTAAAATGAGGGGAGAGTTGCTTTGTGCTGGCCTGGGAGAGTGGACGCTGGCCGAATGCCGCCTGCCCCATTTCAGATATGCACTGAAAATATAGTTATTTTTGCAAGCTTTCCCCAATGCAATCTAGTCTTCCCTGCTAAAACTGACAGAGGAGCGGGCTTCAGGAGCATGCGGCCCCCCACCCCCAGATGGAGCTTCTAGATGGACTTCAAGGACCAAGTGTGTCTATAAAGCTCCTCGGGGTTTATGCATTTGGGGAAATGTCAATCCCTTCCCTGGACAATGCAAATGCTGGGCGGGGGTGTATGTTTATCATACATAGAAGCTTGTTATGACCCGTTTAGAATCTGCACAGCTAAGGTTTTATTAGGAAGGAAGGGGGAGAGGGAGGGAGGCACTGTGTCCACCCCATGCAGCTCAGCTCACGGATTAGTTGCTAAAATGTGATTTGTTGCCCAAAGTGCAATTCATCCATTGTCTCAGCCAACGAGGGGTTCCCGAGCCAGCCAGGTGTCAGCACCTGGCACAGTGGGACAGCTGATGCTGGGACCAGTGGGTTTTGGATGGGTCTCTGCAGATGATGTTGGGCTCTTTAAAAGGGGGGACAAGTCCCTTTCTAATTGGCTTGGGAGAGGCCTTGAGTTCCCCAGAATGTTTGGAGGAGCTGAAGGGAATGACCCTCACTGGTGGCCGAATGCTCAGTGCGTCTCCTGGGAGAGCTGCGTCTGTGTCAGTCCCATTAGGTTCAGGGGGATGCATTCCCAGGGACGTGTAAGAGGGGGTGTGAAGCGCGGGTGACTTGTGGACTGAGCTGGCAGGGGGAGTTCACTCCAGGATTTCTAGTGGAGGGGAACTGTCAGCCGAGGGCCACCAATAGCACGAAGGACCTTCTCCTTCTCTGCCATGAACCTGCCACTCAGTGTCAGTCAAAAGAACCCGACGTTGCCATGTAACAGCAGAAGACACCACCCATCATTTCAACAAGCCCCTTGTTGCTCTCTCCAGTCCATGGAAGCTGAGAGATGCATTAGGGTGAGAGGAAGCCCAAACCGAAGACTCTGGCCACTGTGGCCAACGTTCTTCCCAGTCTGGCCCTCCTCACAACACCAGTCAAGTATGAATCCCAGTGACACTAACTTTCCTGCAGAAGGCTGGACTGCAAGTCCTATGGTTCCATCAGAGCAGCGACATCAGAGCAGCCCAACCAAGCAGCACAAGCTTGGTGCCCTCCAAGACCCTCCAGATACACATGCTAAGGTTCTGCGACAGGGATTCATCCTGACCAGATTTGGACTTCCCTCAGGTTGCAATGTTGAGAACGCCTGCTATCCTCTGGGTGTATGTGCTGAACGGACAGCCATTCAGAAGGCGGTGTCGGAAGGGCACACGACATTTCGAGCCATCGCCATCAGCTGGTAGGTATGACTTCTGCTTCTAGAGCAGGCCATCCAGTTCATTTGCTACATGGAGCAGATGCTCAAAAGAAGTCCTAAGGTGAGTAAATGAAGGCCAAACTCAGAAGATATAGAAGGCTTGAAAACACTGGTTACCAAATGAGAAATGGAAAGCAGAGATGGTTCCAGGGCAGAAAGGAGGGCAGGAAGGAAAAGAGCTTCATGGCTGGAAAATTTGGGAATGACAGAGCACACCTATTTAGAGCTGCCAAATCCCAAAGTCAGAAGATCCATGGCTGAGATCCAGCCTTTGGTTCCAGGAGCTCGACCCAGACCCTGGTGTTAAGTGGGGAATGGCAATTAGGTCTCCTGGGCCCTGGTCTGACTCTCTGTCTACAATATTCAAGAAACCTGAACCAGCAAAAAGGGGAGGGGACAGGACGGGAGACAACCACTCCTTCTTTACACTTTTGGTGCCTTTGCATATTTTGTTGAGTTTCCTTGCACCACACACAAGATCCCTGAACTCTGCTTTGTTCTTTTACTTCAACAGCAACAGTCAAGAATCCTATGCCGTGCCCTGCGGGGCTTGCCGACAAGTGCTCAGAGAGGTAAACGTCTGGCATGCTTTACACCTACACATGCACATAATGTATTGCCAGTTTCCAGTTTTCCTTCGTATCTAGTGAGAAAAATACCTGTCTCTCTTTCAAATTTAAATTAAAGAAGACCAAGGCCACAGGCCCTTGGCAAGAACGCGTGACCCTCCTGGTAAATTTTGAAAGCCAGCTGCTCATTCTGACCATCCCTACGGACATAATCTGCAAAGTGGGCATCCAAAAATACTAGCAGTTGCCTGGATCCATATCAACAAAGCAATTCAATCTGATTTCATCATTACTAGCAGCAGCTATTTTGCAAAGTTAACAGGTCTTAGTTTCCTGTTCAAAACCAAGACACCCGCAATACTTGTTAGAAGGAATAGTTCACAACACAAGGGTATCACTAGGAAAATTCATACCAGCTACTGTAAGGGTTTTGGCTAATTTCAGAGGGAACAGAAAACTGTGAGGGAGACATGGGGAGCTGTCTTGAGTCAGACAGGGAGAATAAAAAATACCATTGTTTGACCCTTTGCATATAGGAAACCATTCTGTTTCTTCATATTCTGTCCTAAAAGTAGTTTCTTGTCCACAATACAGGATACACATCAAGACAATCAAGTGCTGAGGCACATCCATTTCTTTCAGAACAATCCATAACTTCTGTGATCCACACAGTAAAAGGCTGTAACCAGAAGACTGATTTCCTGAAACTCTTTGGTGCACTCCAGTAGCCAGCAGATATTTGCAATATGATCTTCAGTGTCTCTTCCTTTTCAGAAGCCATCTTGAACATCAGGCATTTCTCACTTTGTTGCGGCACCTTGAGCATCACTTTGCTTGCATGGAAAATTAGAGAAATGGTCTTAGAGTTACTGCACTCCTTGATGTCTCCTTTCTTGTGGATTGGAAGGTATATTAAACTTTTCCAGTCTTTGGGCCACTGTTTTGTTCCCCATATTTGTCAATATAGTCTACCTGGGATTTTGATAAATATAGCCTCTGTAGCTTGGAATAATTTGGTTGCTATCTCATTTATTCTGGGTAATTTAGTTCTTCCAAGTGGTTTGAGAGTAGCTTTCCCTTCATTTTCTAAAATGGCAGATTCCATCATAGGATTCTGCTTCAAAGGAATCTGTTAACCTTTCATCTCTTCTGTGTATTGCTTCAACCTTCTCTTTATTTTTATTTTGTGTTTGCTTCTCAGCTGTCCTTAACAATTTTAAGGGTTTTTTTCCCCATCATCCAGCTAGGTTTTTCTTTTCTTTTGCATTTCATGTCTTTTTGCATTCTTCCCCAATAATATGTTTGGTCCCAATCCACAATTCTTCTGGTTCATGGTCAATTGAGTTTAGTAATGCAAATATGTTCTTTGTATTGATTTTAAGTTCATCAGAAATGTTATTTACATTCTATTTTGGCACTATAATTCTTTCAGTGTTCTTTTTCAGCTTTACTCTCATGTGTGATATTAACATTTATAGTCAATACTACATTCTATTCCTGGTCTTGTTTTGACAGAGAGAATACAGCTTCTCCATCTAGTACCTCAAATTACATAAGTCTGTCTGATTTCAGTATTGGCAATCTGGTGATGTCCTCATGTACAGTCATCTGCTTGGTTGCCTGAAGCATGCATTTGCAATAAACACATTGTTCACTGAACTGCATGTACTTTTCTCCTGTTTCTTTCTGAGTCAAAGGACAAATTTTCCAACAACTTTTCATTCTGCTCTTTTTCCTACTTTAGCATTGCATTTACCTGTGATCAGTATATCTTGTTTTGTGTGTGATCAATTTCCTTCTGCATGCTTGCACAAAAGCTTTCCATTTCATCTTCTTTAGCATCTGTAGTTGGAACGTAGACTTGAATGATGGTTATGTTGATAGGTTTCCCCCGAAGTCTGATGGATATTTTTGGTTAGACTTTGCATTATAATCCCTAGCTGCCTGTACTACAATTTGTCTCAGCATTAGAGCTATTCTATACCTTCTGATTTTATCATTTCCAGAATAAAACACCTCATAATTGTCTGTCTACTCCTGTTCACTCTTATCAAGTACTAAAATGTTTAAATGTCCTGTTTTTTGGTTTGTGGTTTCCAGCTTTCCTCGATTCTCAAATTCCATGTTCCAACTGTTTGTGTCATGCGGCATTGGACTTTCCTTTCACCCTTGTGAACATCAACCACAAGACAATCCTTTTGGCTTTAATACAGATCCTCTAGTAGCACACCAATATTTCTACTTGTTCTTTGTTCTTCCTCAGTAACTAATTGAGTGCCTTCTGGCCTGGGAGTCTCATCTTCCAGCACTATGTCTTGTTTCTTTTTGGATAGTCTCATTGTAGGGCTTTCAAGAAATGTTCTGAATCAGTTTACTATTGCTTTCTTGTGTGCACTATTAACAAGAGTTAGACTGCATGTCCCTGCCTTTATTTGTGAAAGATCCTCTGCCAGTGACACTTTCCACTCCTGGTGCTACCTTCCAGAAGTCCAACGCCCCCTCCCCCAGCCCTGCCAGCGTCATTGGAGCTATCCATTCTCTTCTGGTGATGTGCCCATTAATCCCAAAGAGGATGAATGGATCTTAGGGTTCACATCATACCCAGTGGGGAAAATACTAACAGATCCACTGTGAAATCCGATTCCCTTGTGTTAATTCTCTGCAGCCAGCCACATGGCAGTTAGCAGAGACAGGGGAGGAAATTGGCATTCAGACTTGTTAAGATGTCTGCTGTGTTGTAAGACGTAGGGTTAGAGGACAGCTTCTTTGACAAGCTGAAAACTAGGCTGATGAATAAGTTTCTCCTCTCTCTCTGCTGCTTCTTTGCTCTCTGTTTTTTCCTTCCGGTCACCTAGCCACCCTAGCACAGGGTCAGCAAGACTTTCAAAGAAAAAGAGAGAAAACAGAAACAGGAAGGGAAGAGGAAAACAAGCTGGTCAAGGCACCAGGTTTGGGGAGGAGTGGATTCAAAACAGCAACCAGCTTCCCTGGCTGCTCTGCCTCTCTCACTGCTGCTGTAGCTGGCTGGGATGGCTTGTGACAGAACAGCTACAACCCTTTCCACAGTGCCTCAGTTAGATTCCAAAAAAGTGTAAATCCCACAGGCAGGGAGTTGGGAACTATGGATTGGAGGTGAGTTGTACACCATGTAGTCAACAGAAAATATTGTGAATCTGAACATCCTAATCCTGGAGCTTTTCCCGCATTTGTCAATGTAGTTGTCGCCTTAGTTTGGTATCTCAGCTTTGACCAGCCTTGGGTGATTTTTCTGAAGCATCTGGACTTGTAATGGCATCTAGCTTCTTGACAGCCTTGCTTTTGGCTCCCCCATCACAAAAATGTTCAGGTGTGCATCCAAGAGAGTCAGACTGCGGGTCGAAATAGCCCAAGATCTTTAACAGTGATTGGCATGGATATTCCAGGTGTCAAGACAGGTTTGCCAGCCCTTCCTATTGATGCTGCTTGCAACAGAACCTGGGTCCTTCTGCAGGTGAGGCATGTGCCTCACCATTGAGCTGCAGCCCATTCACCAAACTCTTCTGATTTACAGGTTGCACTTCTGTCCTTCCTTTCCTCGAAGGAGGTCAAAGAAGCAACGATGCTTCTCCCCCCCCCACCATCACGCTTGATCCTTGCAACCCTAGAAAGTAGATCAGGTTGAGCGATGACTGGCCCAGCACGATTCACTGGGTTTCCATGCCCCAGTCCAAAAGTCTAACCACTACACTTCCCATCTTCCACAGTCAAGGGAATCTCTGTTCCTGATCATCAAAAAGTCTTGGTATACCAAGACGAATCCAGTAAGTTTCCTCTGCTATTCCATTCTCTCTGAAGTTGTGTCTGGAGTTTTAGGATGATTTATCTCATGTTGTTTTTTTACCTCTTTCCCAGTTTGGCAAACAATGGGACATTTATTTGACCAAGGCGGATGGAGCGTATGTCCGAAAGACTCTGGAGGAGCTTCTGCCCTTCTCTTTCGGACCAGAAGACCTGAAGATCTGAAGGAAGAAAACCCGTTCCAGAGCTGTTGGCCACCTTGTGCCTTTAGCCCAGAAGAACCTTCCATCTTGTATTCACTGTATTTCAAAACTACCTTCTTGCCAATTTAAGTTTATTTCAGACATGTTGTGTTTCAGACCTTGGACAAGTCTAGGAGTTAGTCTAGGAGTTGTTACAGAATGTCTTCAGCAAACAGAGAGCTAAATGCACACTTTCTTTGCCACCTTCCCTTGTAAACCTCCTTTCAAAGAGGTGGTGGCTTTCTTCGGATGGTTCCTTTCCTAGCTTGCAAATTTCCAAAGCTTGGAAAAGTTCCTTTTTTAGACGGTATCTTCCAGAACCCCTCAAACTAGTGATGCTGCCTGAGGACTTCTGGAGGTTGAGGTCCAAAAGAAGAGAGGGACTTTCCAGCACGGTCTGGGAGACAGAGAGCTGCCATATACCAAGTCGAACTAAGGTGACCATGTAGGTTTGAACAGTCCTCTTTTTGAAAGTGTAACCATCTTAATCTGTTTGCAGCAAAAACAAGCAAGAATCCTGTAGCACCTTAAAAAGGTCAGATGCTATTGTGGCCACTCTGACCTGAGACGCAGCAGCTCTAAACCCACGATGCTGGGCTCCATCCAAATGAGCCTGCCTAGATAACATGTATTTTTTTCCACCGCACGTTATTTTCTGTTAATTTTGCTTTAAATTATCAGCTATAACATTCTGTACTTTAAAGACAACTACATTTTCTTTTGATGCATCTGGAAAAGTGAGCTATTCATTCATGAAATGTTACGTCCAATAAAACATGCTAATTGTTAAAGTGCCGTGAGATGCCTTTTCTAGTTGAAGGGACATCCGGTCCCAAGTCCGAAAGATCAAGCACCTTCAGGAGCAAGAACATCAAGGAGCATCATCCACAGAAAGGAGCATCCAGGCAGCCGACTCCAGCAGCCATTATGCAGAGTTGAAGAGTTAATTTTGTACCTGGAACCACCATCATCACCATCTTAGAACTGCAAAGCTGGAAGGGACACCCTATGGATCATGGGGTCCAGCCCCTGTCAAGGAGACCCAGTGAGGAATCAAATTCCCAACTTCTGGCTAGTGACCTAAAACCACTCGGATATTCACCCTCTCACCTTTATTCTCCCCAATAGCCTCTGGATAACCTCAGTATGCCCAAAAAAGTTCCCTCATGGTGTGTTTTACCAATGCACAGAGACACAGTAAAATATTAAGCAAGAATGGCTGGTTCCTGATGTCATCCCGTTTACCCCGATTCCACCTTGCTTTTCGTCAGGGTCTTATCTATGTATATCATGAACAGTGGGAGGCGCGCGAAATGAATGGATCCAGCAGGTCTAGGATCCATTTTAGAAATGTTCTCATTTCTAGTGGTAATGCAAGAGACATGAAATGTTAAAGATAGCGCGCGCACAAAGACCTGGAGGGCTAAGGAAAGGAATTCAGGAAACCGCTTTGCCCAAATAACATGGGAATTGGGATGGGCCGATTGTTAAACCTTGCTGTTGAATTGTCAACTGCCTCTCTGGAACTCTTGCTCTGATCTGCTGTGTATGAATAAACCCTGTGTTTATTCATACCCCAAGAGCAGCGTTGTTTGACGACTGCACTGTTTGGTTCTGTAAATATTATACCAACGCCCTTGCGTTACCTGCTGCTATAAATCTTGCAACAGCATACTTTCAAAATACTTTCCGCCAGCACTAATTCCATTGTCTGTGCAAATGCAATGCTAATCCTACCATGTTTTCCCGAAAATAAGACAGGTTAGTACAGGTGGCAAGAAGGCCAAAGCGGCGTGGGAAGGTGGCCACAAAGCTCTTGTGCTTCATGTAGAATTTCAATGCTACTGAGATTTCCACGTCCAGTCGAGGAGCCACACGGCCGTGCCACCTTAGGCCAATGCCCTCCAGGCCTGTCACTGTTCGAATCATGTGCGGGAGCTGGATGTTGGAGAGCTGGATGTTGGAGAGGCAACAAAGAGGGCGGAGAGGCATATTCCAGCCAGCCACCTTCCCCAGACAGATGAAGGTCAGGAGCCTCGTGGCAGAGTGGCTAAACTGCAGCACTGAGGTCAAACCTCTGCTCACAACCTGAATTCGAACCCAACAGGTTCAGATAGCTGGCTCAAGCCTTCCATCCTTCCAAGGTCGGTAAACTGAGTACCCAGCTTGGGGGGGGGGGCAGGGGGAAAATGTAAGTATACAATTGTGCACAGCCTGCATAATCAACTTGTAAACTATCCAGAGAGTGCTTTAAACACAATGGGGCAAAAAGTAAAGCAAAGCATGCTGCTTATATACAGCCACATGGCACTTAAAGCTTCCTGTGGGCAGTTTACAAATTAATAATGCAGGCTATACATTGCCCCCCCCCTCTCAGTGAGCTGGGTACTTATTTTACTGACCTTAGAAGGCTAGAAAGCTGAGTCAACCTTTCCTGGGATTGAATCCCAGGTCGTGAGCACAGTTTTGGCTGCAGTACAGCAGTTTAACTACTGCACCACAAGGCTCCACAGGGCAGTACATAAACAACACACTTTAATATGTTCTGACTGAGACACTTTAAGAATCTCCCGACTGAGATTCGTCTGGCGCCGACGCTGATGACATTTCGGCACCAGCTCAAAGCCTTCCTGTTCCAGAAGGCTTTTAACTGAAATAATATCAGCTGTGGGTCTGATGGCAATTTTTAGAATATATATATTTTTAATTGCATTTTAATTATTTTGCCCTTTTATTTTGCCTTTTTTATTGTATTTTAAATGCTGTAAGCCGCCCAGAGACCTTCAGGTAGTGTGGGTGGCATATAAGTTAAATAAATAAATAAATAGATAGATAGATAGAGAAAGAAAGAAAGGAAGGAAGGAAGGAAGGAAGGAAGGAAGGAAGGAAGGAAGGAAGGAAGAGGCCCTAAAACAAAGAGAGCAGGAAAATGCCATTGTCCAGATATTAGTGGACTGCAACTCCTATCTGTCCTGAAAAGCAGAGTCCACAGTGAGGTATGTTGGGAGCTGTGGTCCAACATTTGCAAGGTCTCAATTCCACCCACTTGCCTTGAGCTATTATGTGAAGTTTTAGAACTTCTGTAGACTCACAAAAAAATGGAATTCAAGCGGGTTTAGCATTGATGACATTTGGGGTTCCTTCCAGTTCTTTAAAACTCTGAACTTATGGCTGTATGAAACTTGTTAAAATCCCCATTATCTAGGCTTGTCGAAGTCTATCTGGTGAAGTTCAACCGATGGGTAATTCTCTCTATTAGATTCTCATCACAGTGTTTATATCTTTGATCACGGCAGGACAACCTGCCCTTCTGCCTATGAGATTAAGTAGGCCCAGAATGCAAAACTCCTCCTACCATTTTCCTCCCACCAACCCTGCCAGGTAGGCCAAGGTGAACCCACCTAAGCTGACCTGATCGGAAAGTTTCCCAGCTCAGCGACCAAGTTTACGAAGCAAACTCAAACCAGGAAAAGACGGGACAGCACAGACTGAGCCGACTCAAGCTGAGCCAGACCCGGCCAGGCTAAGCCAAGTCAAGCTAACCAAGCCAAGTCAATCCAGACCAGGCGCAGCAAAGCCAGGCCAAGCCAGGACAGGGCAGACCAGCTGAGCCGAGCCGAGTGTATCCAAGCCAGGCTGAGATAAGACAGGTCAAGAAAGGCTAGGCGAGGCAAAGCCAAGTCAAGCCAAACCACAACAGGACATGCCAGGTCAGACCAGGCCAGGATACACCAAGACAAGTGAAAGCAAAACAAGAAAAGCAAGGCAGGCTCGGCCAAGCCAAGCCTAGCCAGGACACCACAGAACAGGACACGCCAAGCCAAGCCAAATCAGGCCCAGCCAGGCCAAGACAGGACAGGACAGGAAAAGCCAGGCTGAGCTGAACCTTCCCAGGCCTAGCCGAGTCAAGCCAAGCCAGATCAGGCTAAAAAGGGCCAGGACAGGACAGGACACGTTTGCCAAGGCCAGGCCAAGCGAATCCATGCCAGACAAGGCTAAGCCACGCCAACCTACAGCTCGAACACCCTCCTTGCCTAGCTGATCGTGTCGTGTTCTTCACATGCAGTTTGTGTTCATGTCAAGCCAGGCCAGGCTAAACCAGGCCATGCCGGGCTGAGACAAGACAAGACAGGTCAGCCACGACCGAGCCATTCAAGTCAAGTTAACCCAAGTCAAGCCAATACAGGCCAAACCATGCAAGGCCAAGCCAGGCTATGCAAGCCCAGGCAAAGGCTATGAGGTCTTAAAAGAAATATGTTGTAATTAGCAACCAATTATGGTATTAGTACAGGTGGCAATAATTAAGTAACTGCCTACATGACTAGAAGAACACAGCCATGAAGGATAAGCTAAATTCTGAGTCTGAATTTATAGCTTTGTCAGAAGTCTGCAATAACTTAATTTGTTACACAACTTTATTGAAAGAATTGAATGTACAAATAAAGGGGCCTATGCCAGTAATAGAAGACAATACAGCTTATATTGAAATAGCAGCTTCTGAGAAGCTAAAAGGAAGGTCAAAACATATTGACATAAGATTTTGTCATGTTGTTGTTGTTGTTGTTTAGTCATTTAGTCGTGTCCGACTCTTCGTGACCCCGTGGACCAGAGCACGCCAGGCCCTCCTGTCTTCCACTGCCTCCCGGAGTTGGGTCAAATTCATGTTGGTCGCTTTGATGACATGTCATGTTAGAAAGACCATAAAAACAAAGTAAATAAAGTTACATTATTGTCCATCTTCGAAGAACCAAACTGTTCACAAAGTCTCTTGCCAACCAAACCAGGCCAACTTCAGCCAAAGCCAAGCCGGTCCAAATCAGGCCATTCCAAGAGAGGGAAGTCCCTGCAAGATTAGGCCAAGACGAGACAAGGCAAGGCAAGCCAACACAAGTCAGGCCAATCCAGGCTGTTCCAGACAAAGCCAAGTCAAGCAAAGCAAAGCG